GTGGGAGGATCTGAGGCCAGGAGATCCAGACTAGCCTGGGCAGAATAGCGAGACCCTGTCTTTAGAAAAAATATCAAAAGACAGCAGGGCGGTTGCACAGGCTGTGCAAATGCACAGAAGCCTCTGAATCCTGGCGATCCAGCGCCCCAGGCTCGTAACATCCTGGAGCTGCTGGCCCAAGTTGGAAATCGGGCGGCCCTGAGTTGAGGGACGTGGAGCTCCCTGTGGAGGGAGTGGGTGGGCTGGGGAGACGACACCGAGGGGCCTGCGCCCTCGCCCTACCCTAGCCCGGCTCTGCTGGCGGGGAGGTGGAGAGCCTGGGAGTCGCGTGCAGGGCAGGCGTCCCGGTGACGCGGGGCCCGGCGCATTTTTCCAGCTTGGCCTGCTGACCTGGCCCTTGTCTGGTGTCCCCCTAAGGCGATGAAAAGCATGTTCCTGCCGGGGTAACCAGAGGACTCGCGGAACACAAGCGCGCTGGGGACGTTACCGTAAGCTGCACGCGCGGAAACCAGAGCGCTGGGTGGAGGGCGACGCGAGCTGCCGCGGGCACTGGCCCGGGCAGCGGGACCGCAGCGCACGGGGCGCTTCCTAAATGACTGTCCCGAGCGGCCCGTCGGGCTGAGGCTGGCGAGGTCCCGTGCGTACACAAGGGGGACGAGGGGCGGGCGCACAGCGGCCAGGACGCCGGGGCCCCGAGCAGCCCTTGGAGGAACATCCCACCCCGTGGAACTGGACAAGACCCTGGCACCACGCGGGGGCGATGCCAGGTCCATTCCCGCCCGGTGCTCGCCGCCCGCAACCCCGGCCCTGCGAGCGACCACGGCTCCCAGAGTGCTCTGCGCTAGTGCGCCCGCGGCGACTACGGCTCCCAGGGTGCTCTGCGCCGGCGAGCCCGCGGCGACTACGGCTCCCAGGGTGCTCTGCGCCGGCGTGCCCGCGATGACCACGACTCCCACGGTGCTTTGCGCCCTGCCAGCCTCTCCAGGCCCCGCCTCGGGCCGGCCGCGGACTACAAATGGACGTGAGAGGCGGCCGCCCGTTACTTAGCGGCTCCGGGGCGACGCGGCCGCGATCCTCTAGGCGACCCGCCCGACTCGGACAGGCCGAACGCGCCGGTGGGGCGGGCACGCGGGCTACGGCGGCCGGCAGGGGGCGGCGGCGGCTGTTGCCCAGGTGTCCGGAGGTGGGGCCGCGGGCCTCGCGCGCTGTGAACCCGGCGGGCCTCAGCTTAGCCGCGGCCGGGGACTGGCTGAGGCCATGGGCGACCGCGGCGGCGCGGGCGGTTCCCGGCGTCGGAGGACAGGGTCGCGGCCCTCGAGCCACGGGGGCGGCGGGCCTGCGGCGGCGGAAGAGGACCTGCGGGATGCCGCTGCGGGCCCCGACGTGGGAGCCGCGGGGGACGCGCCAGCGCCGGCCCCCGGCAAGGACGGAGACGCCGGCGTGGGCAGCGGCCACTGGGAGCTGAGGTAGCGGGCTCCGCGAGTTTCTGGGGTTGCCGCGGGGCGGGCTCGAGTCCGGGGACCTGGACCCCCGGACCTTGTGGGGAGGCTGAGGCTTTGGCGGGAGGGGCGCCTGCCAAGGTCACGGGGTGGGGGCTCGTGGAGCCGGCCGCCTTGGCCGGGCGAGGGGACCTGGCAGGTGTCCCGCTTTCGGGTCCTCTTGGGTCTGTGCATCCTCGGGGGCTCCTGAGCGCTTCTCGAGGGGCGGGCAGGTGAGACCCCGCGTGACCCAGCCCCGGACAGTGTCCCCTTCTCTGGAAGGAGTCAGATGAGATCTGGGCCGTTTGTGGTGATGGGTTCCGTCTTGGTGCTCCGAGCGTGCCTTGCAGGTAGGAAAGGCTCCCGGAGGAGGGATGGCCTGCCAGGGAGGGGGCCAGCTGGAGCCCAGGCCTGTCTGAGGACAGGGGAGTGAGCAGCTGCCCCTGGGCAAGGGGCAGTGTAAGAGACGTTCTTGTCCTTGCAGATCCTCCTGAGAGTGGCCGCGTGCCCCATTCGTCCTTGCTGATGTTGCCAGGATCCGCGTTTGCTGTAGGGACAGAGAGTTGGGTTCTGTGTTGGGACTTCCATCCTTCAGGAGGGAGGTGGGGTACGGGGATGGTGGACACATCTACAGGTGGGTGCCCTGCCCAGCTGGATGACCGACTGACAGGGGTGGAGGGAGGGAACCATGGCTGATGGGAAGGACTTGGCCAGCCTGGGCATTGGCTTCCTCCTCCAAGCTGGCCTTGAGCAATCCCTTTGCCACCCTCCATCCCCCTTTTATGGCTCTTAGGGGTTTTGTTTTAGAGGGCAGCTGAAGGCCTAGAGGTTATTAAGGTGGAAGTGGGCAGATTTTGGACGTTTAGTGGGCAAGGATTTGCTCTCTCAATGAATAAGAATGGAGCTTTTCTTCACTGGGCACCATGGAGAGGGGGCTGGGGACGGCAGTCACCATCGTGGCCCTCAGGGTGCTCAGTTCATCTGGGAGATAAGATAACCTCAGTAAGAAGCAGGCACGGAGCAGTGTGGACAAAGGTCGGGCACAGAAGCCATGAAGGCGCCATGGGGAGGAGGGTGGCCCTCCTGAGAGGGGTGCTTGCCTGCTGTGGGCCTGGGGTGCTGCTGAGGGAGGCTGGTCGTGACCTCTGGAGGGCATGGGAATTGAGATTTTTTTTTTTCTTTGAGATAAGTTTCGCTCTTGTTGCCCAGGCTGGAGTGCAATGGCACAGTCTTGGCTCACTGCAACCTCTGCCTCCTGGGTTCAGGAGATTCTCCTGCCTCAGCCTCCTGAGTAGCTGGAATTACAGGCACCCGCCACCACGCCCAGCTAAGTTTTGTATTTTTAGTAGAGATGGGGTTTTACCATGTTGGCCAGGCTGCTTTTGAGCTCCTGACCTCAGGTGATCACTTGCCTCAGCCTCCCAAAGTGCTGGGATTACAGGTGTGAGCCACCACATCCAGCCAGGAATTGAGATTTTTAGTGTGAGTTGGGGGTATCCCAGCTTTGGGCCAAGCTGCCACTCTGGAGTAGGCAGGGGAGAGCAGTCACCTTCCTGCTTTTCAAACCATTGAGCCTTTCCTGTACTTCTGCTGGTTTGGGATGAGTGCAGAGCTCGTGGGAGAGGCCTGGGGAGTCCCTGTCCCTGACATTGAGGTTGGGTCTCTTTGGGAAGAGGGACAGAAGGCAGAGGTGGGGCTTTCCTGGGGCTGGAGGCTGAGCCCGAAAGTCCATCTGCTCCCGGGTTTCCAGGACTTGCAGGCCACATGTGCTTGTCCCTCAGACGTGTGGATACAGCAGGGCTCAGGGACCACTGGCTGTGGACACTTTCTCCCTGCTGTCTGGGTCAGGCCTTGCTCTGCCTGCCCTCCTGGGACTTGGCCTCTAGTGCAGTCCCTTGTCAGCGTTAACAGCCTCCCCTCCCTCCCGATTGCTGCCACTCTTGGCCCAGCCCAGCCTTTCCTTTCCGGCTGGAGCTCTGGGCCTCCTCCCCTCACTGGCACTTCCTGCTCACCTTGGGCTGGGCTCGGTATGAGCTCTTTTCTTCCGGCCCCGTGGCAAGGTGAGGCTGTGAGGCAGGCAGGAGAGGGCACCCCTTTCTGCCCTGCCTGTGGCTCACTCCTGCCAGGCTCTTTGCACACTCCCATCAGCCCTCTGTTCACAGGCACCCCAGTCGGGGCCTTCTGGTTTGTGGCTTCTCCCAGGGTGTTCTGTCCCTGAGGTATCTTCTCTGACTCTCCCTTACTCTCTCCAGCAGGGTCTGTGAGGTGCAGTTAGCCTGCTCCAACCATCTTGAACCCCAGGCCCAGCCCAGAGGCCAGTGTGGAGGAGGTGGCAGCTGGGAGCAGAGCTGGACCCTGCCCACCCCTCATTCTGCTTTGCCCTGGAGCTGCAGTCTGTGGGGCTCAATTGTGGGAATCACTGGGACCTGTGTCTTTGGGCACATTTGAACCTGGAGACAGGGTGGCAGGTCGGCGTGTGCCGAGGTCTTAGTGTTGCTGTGAGACTGAGAGGGTCCTGTTGGCTGGGTGGGCCTGGGGGCTGCAGGGTGGGAGGGTGGGCTGCTCTGAGTCTTCTTGGCCTGGGGAGTGGGTGTAGGGACAGCTGGAATGTACAGAGGCTTGGGCAGGCCCTCCAGTAGGTGAGAGGGTGACAAAGGTGCTCTGGGCACAGGGGCAGATCCCGCCTCCCCATGCCACTCCCTGCATCATGCTCTCTAGCCCAGTTGATTCTGGCTGCACTGGCAAGCCTGCAGCTGTGTAGGCACTGGTGGACTGGGGCTTCCTCCTCATGGGGATCTGTGAGGGGTAGGACAGTGCAGTGGGGTGTTTCCTGTGGGTGGGGCTGGTTAGGAGGCCTGTGGAGAACCTGAGGTGAGGGCGTGGCTGGGTTGAGGTAGGCCTTGGAAGCCTCAAGGGCCCCTGAGGAAGCTCCTATAAGATTGTCTGGAGTGAGCTTTGGGAAGCACCACCCTTTCCCGACTCCTGCTTTCATCTTGGAGATGGGCACGGGTAAAGCCAGCATGGTATCCTTCATGGCTCAAAGTGGGCAGGGGTCACACTGTTGTGAAACAGCTGTGGTTGGTAGGTATGATACAAGAAGGCCAACCCTAGGCTTGGGATCATTCTGCTGAAAACAAATGAGCTTGAACTTGGGGAAGAAGGGACAGTGGGGAGGCCCAGTCTAACAGATCCCCTAGAGAAGCTGTTGGGCAGTTGGGCCTTGTGCCCCGCTCTTGTTATGGTGTTGGAGCTCTGGTGGCGTACACACCCAGCCTCCTGGTCGGGGGCAGGCAGTGAGTGGAGTGGGCTGGGGAGATAAGCTGAGGGTAATGGTCAGTTGGGAGGGCAGCTGCCAACCTGGGGAGGAGGGAGGCTCAGCTGGAGACCACAGCCTCACTGCATGGCCCAAGATGGACCTGGTGGGTGGAGGCAGGATGCTCAGGCTGGAGCTGGGAGAGGCAGGGTCTGCCTCTCCCAGGACAGGCACCAGGCAGCTGGGGTAGAGCTGCCTGTCCTGGTGCTTCAGCTTAGATGGGCAGAAGGAAGGCTGTGATTATCTTCCCTGCATGAGGGTCTCTGGGGCTGGTGTAAGCTTGTCCAGGAACTGTGTAGGTGTAGATGGGGCAGGTGCTGTACCAACCTTGGTCTTGGAGGGCAAAGGTTGGGCTTGTTGGCATTGCCCCTCAGCCTCCCTGGCCCCTTGTCTCCTGGGCAGGGCTGTCTGATGCCAACCCCAACATTAGCCAACTTGCCTTGGGCGCCCTGAGGGCATCTGCATCATGGGGCTCCTGCCATTGCTTCAGGCCCACTCTCCCTGTCTAGGGGCTCTGAGGGCAGATGTGTGTGCGTGGGAGGAAAAAGGAGGCTCTGGCCTCTCCTCTTACAAAACTGAGGACTTGCTCAATTGCTGCGTGTGGCTTCCTGGTGGCACGGCAGCTGGGGGATGAGGTGGGGCTGCAGCTGGTGTGCGTGAGCCAGCACTTCTTCCTAGGACATGTGGGGCCTGGCCAGGCTCCTGCTATCCTTGTCCCAGCTTCATGGCAGTCCCTATGTTGGGCTGGGTGCCCTCTTCCACCTGTGCAGTACGTGGAGGATCAGGCAGGGTCTGCCTGTGCCCCTCCAACGCTGGTTGGGAGATCATGGGTGGGCACCTACCTCTGTCGGAAGCCTCCTGGCCAGCCAGCAGGCACTTAGCCCTGGGTGGGGTCCTTTCAGCTGCCTCAGCCTGGGCTGGAACACAGCACAAACAAGTGCAGACCACACCGGCACATGAGGACTGGCTCCCTGCCTCCAGGAAAGTGCGTGTCAGGCTGGTGTGTGGCTGGCACTTGGCCTGCCTTTGCCAGTTTGAGCCTGCTGCCCCTTTGAGTAGGGATCCCTTGGCTCCCGGGTGCTGGATGTGGGGGAACCAACCCTCACCACTTGGTCCCTGCAGTGCTGGGTGTGCCCCGGTCCACCTCCAGGTTGGACTCTGCTTGTGGCCTCAGTGCTAGTCCACAGCCAGAGTGCATGGCAGTGGCCAGAGGCAGGGCCAGCTGGGCTTGCTTCTCCTGACTCTGATGTGCCCTCCTGCTCCCTGGACTTCCCCTTGCCCAGCACTGGCGTTGGCTGAGGTAGGTGCCGAGTCTCGGAGCTTGGGAGGGAGATCAGACAGGGCTGGGTCTGCAAGCCTGAGGCTGCACCCTAGAGGTACAGGCTCCAGGGGTCCTGAGAGCTTTGCCCTCTGTAGGTCTTGTGGCCACAGTGTGGCTCTGCCTGGTTCCTCCTCCTGGTTGTAAATAGGGAGTGGGGCCTGTGGGCAGACAAGGAGGCTGGGGTGGGGGCATGGATCCTGTGGGGGTGGCCCTGCCCTGCTGGTGTCTGCTAAGGGGGTGCTGTGTCATGCCCCATCAGGTGCCATCGCCTGCAGGATTCTTTGTTCAGCTCTGACAGTGGCTTCAGCAACTACCGTGGCATCTTGAACTGGTGTGTGGTGATGCTGGTGAGTGGGACATGGTGTTGGGAGCAGGTCAGGGCCAGGCTGGCCTTTGCCTGGGAACAGGCTCTGCCAGCCAGTGTGGGGGACTGGCACCCCCGTGGGCTGGGGTGTATGGAGCAGGCTGCATCTCCATGTGGCCGCCAGCACTGGGCTGTTGGGGAGAGGAAGTGGTAGTGGCTGCCCCTGCTGTGGCCACTTGGGTGCCTGTGCACCACATACTTGCTGCTCCCCATTGGACTCAGGAGAGCCCTGTAGATGTGGTGTGGGGAGTGCCTGGGCTGGAGCCTGTGTGTTGTGAGCTGGGCCTGAGGGGTGCAGGGCTTCCATGGAGAGCAGGATGGAGAGGGGGCTTGCCCTGGGCTGGTGGGACAGTGGACTTTGGGCTCTGTGGACATGAGGCCTCTCTGGCAGGGGAAGTGAGAAGAGTTTCCTGTGCTATGCCACATGGCCTTTGTTAGTATGGAGCCCCTGCAAGCCTGGACACCACTCTGCAGTCCTCCTGGCCCCTTTCCTTAGCTGTGGGTCCTAGGAGCCCCCTAGGAAGGTGCTTAGAGCCCTGTGCCATATCCAAGGCCTGCCTCTGGGCCTGGTTCCCACTGGCACTTCATGGGGTGGGGCTGCCCCACCCCAGAAGTATTTGGAGCCCAGGGCTCAAAGGGGCAGCCCGCAGGGCAGATTGAGGGCAAGGGCTGTCTGGGCCCGGCCCCCACCACTCAGGGCTGATGTGGCTCGAGGCCTTTGACCCTCACCCAGGCTATCTCTGCCCTTGGGTGTGGCTCCTGTGGCTGCCAACATGGAAGGGGCGACATGCACATCCATATCCCCTACTGCCATGGTCCTGGCAGGTTCCCTGGGGGTGGCCAATTGTGGAGGCTCATGAGGCCTGGTGGCTGAGAAGCTGGCCAGGCAGGACAGTGGGCCCAGTGCCAGCCCAGCACTCAGAAGACACAGCCTATTCAGGCTGGGCCTTGTCCAGCCCAGGCAGCACTGTGTGTTCTCCCCAACTCTTTGGGCCTGCTTGGCCATTTGGCCCAGACCTGAAGCCTTTTCCCTGCTTCTGGCTCCCCCATGGTCCCGAGCCCCGGGAGTGCATTTCGCTCTGGGCTGCCTGTTACATTATCTCTGTGGCCTGGGCCTGGAAGTGGGTACCTCACATTGGCAGCTTTGGCTCCTGCTTGCTGTCAGTTCTCAGGAGAGGCGGGTGACAGTTTGGGCCACATGTGTCCCTGCAGAAGGCGTGTCAGCCCTCCAGCTGCGGGAGGCAGGGCAATGGCCCTTGTGTCCCGGAACCAGTCTTCTCTTTCATGAAGCCTTCCCTGACCACCCAGGGATAGACCCTCAGTGTTCCCTTGACAGTGTTCCTTTTCCCCAGCACCAGTTCACACCCTCGCATGAAGCCTGAGCTCCGGGTGGTCAGCCAGGTCTGTGGCATTGGGACCCAGCTCATGGAGGTGTTGGTAGTGCTTGTAAGATGGAGAAAGAGGTTCCTGTCCTTGCAGAGGGAGGTCAAGCACCCAGCTCCAGGCTAGACCCAGGTGCCTTTTTCCATGGGGGCTTAGTCCTGGGAAAGCTGCTTGGAGCCAAGTGTCCAGGGCTTGGAGGACTGCAGGAAGCAGAAGAGGCAGACAGGGCATAAGCCCTGGGAAGCAGTTCTAGGCCCAGCCCCCCTTGCCACACAGCTGGGCACTGCTCCTACAGGGAAAGGGTGGACAACTCCCCCTCTTCAGCCTGGGCCACCAGTAGGGACTGGTTCCTTGGGGCTCAGCTGTGGGCAGGCCTGGGTTTTGGGGCTGTCTCTGTGGTTGGCTATGGGAGCCTTGGGTCCCTCACTGGCTCGGCTCAGCAGGAGGGATGTGAGCAGCTAAGCAGCAGGTTTTGCTGCTCCAGAAGACCCAGGTGTCTGGCCAGTGCCTGGTTGTGGTTGGTTCCCTCCATGTGGGCCCCTCTGGAGTGATGGGGACAGGGAGGGACTTCCCCTTGCCCAGCACTGGTGTTGGCTGAGATGGGTGCCGAGTCTCAGAGCTTGGGATGGAGATCAGACAGGGCTGGGTCTGCAAGCCTGACGCTCTGCCCTGAGCTCGGGCTGGGACGTGCCCAGAGGTGTTGGGAGGAGCTGGGGTGAGTGCCCTGTGGCCAGGACTAAAGGGGCTGTACCCTCCTGTCCGTCCCTTGCAGATCTTGAGCAATGCCCGGTTATTTTTGGAGAACCTCATCAAGTGAGTGCCTTTGCTAGGTCTTGCTCCTGCCCCACCCATGGACTGCCCAGGGGCCGCCCCCTGGCCCCACCTGCCACCCACTCAGGTCCTCACCACTCCACCCCCAGGTATGGCATCCTGGTGGACCCCATCCAGGTGGTATCTCTGTTCCTGAAGGATCCCTACAGCTGGCCTGCCCCATGCCTGGTTATTGGTGAGCTAGGCTCTGAGGAGGGCCTTGGGTGGGGATGAGGCTGACATGGCCCTGAAACTGCTCCTTGGTGCCTTTATCCACAGTGGCCAATGTCTTTGCTGTGGTTGGATTTCAGATTGAGAAGCGTCTGGCGGCAGTAAGCAGTGCCCTTCACCTCCGTGTGTGCTCCCCCTGCTGTGTGCGTTCTTGGGAGGAGCTGCTCCCCAGGCTTGGCAGCCCTCCCCCAGGCAGTGGGAGCCCTGGTTGACTCTCTGTTCCTCACTCCAGGGTGTCCTGACGGAGCAGGTGGGGCTGCTGCTACATGTGGCCAACCTGGCCACCATTCTGTGCTTCCCAGCGGCTGTGGCCTTGCTGGTTGAGTCCATCACTCCAGGTGCGCTCCTACCCTATCCTGCTCAGCTGTCTTGTGCCAGCCACAGGCACAGCCTCTGGCTGTGGCCCTGTGGAGGCCTGAGCCCATCTCTCCCACAGTGGGCTCCCTGCTGGCACTGATAGTGCACACCATCCTCTTCCTCAAGCTCTTTTCCTACCGAGACGTCAACTTGTGGTGCCGCAGGGCCAGGGCCAAGGCCAAGGCTGGTGAGGGGCTGCTGGGGGCTGGGGCTGCCTGCTGGGGGGGCTGGGCAGCAGCAGGACCCCACCACTCCCCTCCCACTCTGCTGTGCTCGTAGCCTCTGCAGGGAAGAAGGCCAGCAGCACCACTGCCCTGCACACCGTGAGCTACCCAGACAACCTGACCTACTGTGGTGAGGACCTCCGGGGGGCTGAGGTGCAGGGGACAGGCCGGGCCTGTGCTGGTGCCAGCCCCCCATTCCCATTCCAGATCTCTACTACTTCCTCTTCGCCCCCACCTTGTGTTACGAGCTCAACTATCCCCGCTCTCCCCGAATCCGGAAGCGCTTTCTGCTGCGACGGCTCTTTGAGATGGTGAGGTTGGGGGCTGAGGGGGGCCACTGGAGGCTGGGGGTCCTCCCAGCTGGCCAGGGCCTCAGCTGGCTACTCTCTGGTTCCTCCCCCAGCTCTTTTTCACCCAGCTCCAGGTGGGGCTGATCCAGCAGGTAAGTGGGGTGTGGCAGGGTTGGGTACAGCTGGCGCAACTGGGAGCTGACATGGTGCCCTCCTTTGCAGTGGATGGTCCCCACCATCCAGAACTCCATGAAGCCCTTCAAGGTGAGTGGCTCAGGTGCTCTTGTGGCTGGGGTGGCTGGGGAGAGACTGGGAGAACGGCTGGCTGAAGGGCTTGTTTCTGTAGGACATGGACTACTCACGCATCATCGAGCGCCTCCTGAAGCTGGCGGTGAGTAGGGGCAGGACAGGAGGGGTCGGTGGCATGTAGGGAAAGGTTCTACAACTTGCTGCCCATCCCCACTTCCCCGCCAGGTCCCCAACCACCTTATCTGGCTGGTCTTCTTCTACTGGCTCTTCCACTCCTCCATGAATGCTGTGGCTGAGCTCATGCAGTTTGGAGACCGGGAGTTCTACCGGGATTGGTGGTGAGTGGCCCTGGGGTGCCCCTGGGATGGGCCATGGTGTGCTCTGAGCCCCACCCCCACCATCCACTCTTGGCCGCAGGAACTCCGAGTCTGTCACCTACTTCTGGCAGAACTGGAACATCCCTGTACACAAGTGGTGCCTCAGGTGGGTAGTGTATGTCTGCGGGGGGATGTTGAACGTGGCTGTGAACCTGAGCCCCTTTCTCTGCCCCCTCCTCTGCAGGCATTTCTACAAGCCCATGATTCGAAGGGGCAGCAGCAGGTGGATGGCCAAGATAGGAGTGTTCCTGGCCTCAGCCTTCTTCCACGAGGTCAGTGCTCTGTGGGACAACTTGCCTCATCCCTGGGCAGGGGTGTGCCCACGGCAGGGATGGCTGACACCCCATTCCCTGATGTCCCGTTCCTCCCCTCCAGTATCTGGTGAGCATCCCTCTGCGAATGTTCCGCCTCTGGGCGTTCACGGGCATGATGGCTCAGGTGAGTGACCCCCCACGTGGCCTCCCCACTCGCTCACTTACCCCTGCTTGAACCCCTGGGCCAACCCCCCCGGGACCTTGGAGCCCCCAGCTCTGTGGTCACTATGACCGACTGACTTGGCCCCACCTTCCCCAGGTCCCACTGGCCTGGCTCGTGGGCCGCTTTTTCCAGGGCAACTATGGCAATGCGGCTGTGTGGGTGACACTCATCATTGGACAGCCAATAGTCGTGCTCATGTACGTCCATGACTACTACGTGCTCAACTACGAGGCCCCAGCAGTAGGGGCCTGAGCTGCACCCAAGCGCCTGGCTTCTCACTGCCACCTCGCACCTGCAGCCAGAGCCAGCCTCTCTTCCTGGGCTCCGAGTGCTAGGGACAGGCCTGGCTGCACAGCACCCTCCTCCTGCCCCAGGGAGGCCTCTCTGCCCCTATGGGGCTCTGTCCTGCACCCCTCAGGGATGGCGACAGCAGGCTGGGGCCAGCTGGGAGCCTTGCCGACCCTGCCCTGGGGTCTGAGTGTCAATAAAGTGCTGTCCAGTCACCTCTTCAGCCTGCCAGGAGCCTGAGGACTGGTGGGAGGTACAGCCAGGGCCACATGGACAGCTACTCCAGGGCCAGGAGGCCTGTTCTCCAAGCTGCCTTGTGTGCCTGTGTGGGCCGGAGGGCTCCAGGACTTGCTGGGAGAGGCAGCTCCACTGCAGCAGGGCGGGCATGGCCAGTAGGGGGAGTGCAAGGCCAGGCAGACGTCCCTGTTCCCTGCACTTCCCCTTAGAAAAGCTCAGCTCAGGCGTCCTGTCCTGGCACTACCTCTGCTGGGTATGCGGGAATCTGCACTCTGGCCCTTGCTGCAGGTTGAGCCTGCTTGGCCAACCTGGATCCACCATGCTCAGCCTCGGCTAGGGAAGAGGTCACCCTGGGGTTGTTGGAAGTGGGCCCCGGCCAAGATGGCCCAGGGATGGGCAGTCCCTAGGGCCTTTCTGGCGTCTGTCTGGTGAGCTGAGAGGCTATGGTGCACAATTTGTGTCCATGGTCATGCACCTTGGGGCAGGGCCCCGGTTTGGCAGCCTCTCCTCTTCAGTTGGAACCTGGGCAGCCAGGTGGCCCTCAGCTGGCCTCCATGAGGCTGGGCCACCCCTGGTCCCCAGGCCTTCCCTGCCCTCTGCACTCCTGGCACCAGGCTGGGCAGTGTAAACAGTGTAGCCCTGCAGCCTTTATATCCACGAAGCTGGGCAAATGGAGCCACCCTGGTTGCAGAGAGAGGTCAGGGGTAACCCCAGGACCCTGCTGCTGCCTTACCTTGCTGGGGAGACTACCTGATTAAAGACTTCAAAACTATACCAGTCCCTGGTGCTCCCAGACCTGCAGCTATGGCCCAACAGGCAGGTGTTTGAGGCCCTGCAGTGGTCCCAGGGCTGCACCCTGGGCCTCATCAGCAACCCGCTGGACTGTGGTGGCCTTGTGGGGAGGGTGGGCTACCTTGGTGGTGTCCTCCCTCTACCAGTAGGGGCTGGCGGGCCCTGTGTCGGAGGCAATAGTGGGTGAGCTCTCGGCTGGGGGACAGGTGTGGGGTCCTGACTCCCCCATGCTGCATACGGTCCTGTGCCTCTCCCCACCCCTTGGCCAATGGAGCCTGAGAACAAGTTGTTGCTGCCAGATAAAGAATGGAATGAAGGCTGAGAAGGCCTTGCCCAGGAGCCAAAGCCCGTTCCACTGCCCACCCCAGGCTGCCTGGGAGGCCACCTTCCCTTCCACCACCAGGCCAAGTGGAAAACCCTAAGGCTATGGGACAGGCTCCCATTGCCCATGCCTACATAGGAGGGTTCAGGCTCTGATAGAAGACAGTGTGCCCACCCTGTGTCCTCAACCCTGAGTGCAGACACCTTGGGAAGGGGGTTCCTTGTAGTCCTTGGGTGCCCAACCCTGGTCCCTCAATAAAGAACTATGAGCAAATGCTGGTCCTGCAGAGCTGGGTGTGCACAGGGCGCTGCAAACATCTGCCTTCCCCCAGGAGGCTACTGCAGCCCAGCCCTTCTGTGCCCTGGGCCCCTCCTCACTGCACCCCCACCCACCACACCACTCTGGGACAGAGGAACCACATGGGAGGCCACAGCATAGAGCCTGTCTGTTTATAGATCTCTGCCCGTCTCGTACGTCCGTCTGTCCACCTGTGTGTATATATCTGTATATCTCTATGGAACAGGGAACAGGATAGTTGTGTAAAAATCCAAAATACAATTCTGACTATGAACAACCTGCAGGGTCAGTCCGGGTGTGGCTGTGAAGCCCCAACCAAACCACAGGACACGAGGTTGGGTGAAGGCAGACTGGCAGGTGGACAACCCTCCTGACCAGAGGTGCTGCCCAGGCCCAAGCCCCTCTGTGCATCCTGCTGGGGCTGCGGTGGCCAACCCACCAGTGCACAGGACCGTGAGCCTGCCCCGCCTCCCCAGGACCAGCCCTGCACTGGGGGTGGGGGTGGGCAGGCCATGGCTGGCTCGGCTCCTCCCGGTCACCTAGGAGATAGTGGGGTCCTTGGCTTTGGGAGGCTCTGAGCCCGTCAGCAGGGAGATGGTGGGGTCCTCTGCAAAGCCGTCGCCTTCGGAGAAGTAGGAGCCCTCTCCCAGCTCAAACAGCACGGGCAGGTCGCTGCTCCCGGTGTCCACGGAGCCGGGGTCCAACAGGAACAGGGGCTGCGCCGTGTAGTGCACCAGCTGCTTCCCTGCGGGGGTGGGGGTGTCAAGGCTGTGGGGGTCGGGGCAGAGATGGGGGCTGATGGGATTTGGCTCACCTGAATCCGGGCTGCTGTTCTCCGCCTCAGGAGGCCTGGGGGGCTCCTGGGGAGACAGGAGCTCCTGGATCTGTGGGGTGGAGGGGTACAGTGAGCATGCCTGCCTGTACCATTCCCCCTCACCCTCCCACCCACCTACGCACACTGGCCAGGCTGCTGTCAAGGTCAGGCAGGCTCATGTCGGGCACAGTCACTGAGGGGCTGAACAGCTGCAGAGGAGGGAGGGAAGTCAGCACTGCATCTGGGGCAGGGCGGGGCGGGGTGGGCAGGGCGGGGCTTGACTCACATCCAGCAGGGCGCTGGTGTCCACACTGAAGCCGTGGCTGCTCAGCATGGTCTGCAGGTTGTCCAGGTTGGAGTCCATAGCATCCAAGTGGTCGCTGAGCTCATTCCTGGCCCGGGATGAGGGGGTAGGTGAACAAGTGCCCCATGCCCTGCACCGTGATGCCCTCCTGCAGAAGGGCTCCCCTTGGCTGTGTCCCCCAGGTCATGCCCCCGTGTAGGCCTGCACAGGCTGGAAGACAGCCTGGAAAGTGGTGGGGGCTCTGTGCCCTGCACAGGTGTGGTCAGACCCATGTGGGGCATCCTGTCACCATGAGGGCCTGGAGGCCTTGGTGGCAGCAGGAGAGAAGGGGTGTATTCAGCTCCAGCATGAGGGTGGGGGGTTTCAGTTTTCAGGGTCAGCGAGGTATCCCGTTGCGTATGGAAAACGGCTGAGGCTGTGCTCAGCATGTGGGTGGCTCAGCCCCTGCCCCGATGCTGCTGTGGGGATAAGACCCACAGTCTGGTGGCGGTGACCAAGAAAGCCCAAGGCCATGGGACACACATGAGCCATTGGACAGGCAGCCAGGCTGGGTCCTGGAGGTGCCCCAGAGACCATGCCTGACAGGAAGTGCAGTCAGTACCGCAGCCTGGCACCAGAGGCTGTGCCAGGCCAGGGAAGCCTGTCCTTGTCACAGGCAATGACCACAGGCCTGTGGCCAGGGGAGGAAGGATGACATTGACCCCCGTCATGGAGGGGCCCAGAATGCGACTGTCCAGGCCCAGTGCTCATGCCCGGCCAGGCTGGGTCTGGTCCACGGCTGTGTGGGAGGGCCCAAGCTCTGGCAGGGCCCTCCTCCCTCCCCAGAGGGGTCAGCGCTAACCCTGGCTGGACTCGGCCATGTGGAGAGGAGGAGGGGCAGGGGAAGAGGCGGGCGACCCCAGACATCTGTGGAGTGTGAGCCAAACTGCAAGATACAAAAACAAGAGTCCCCACTGCAGGCAGGGCTGGGCAGGGCCGGGGGGTGTCTAGGCTGGGCCCCATCACTGTCTCCTGCTGCTGGTCTGGGCAGCACGACTGATGCTGGGACCCGTGGCCTGTGGCGAGAAGGCAGTGGCAGCAGGAGGGGTGGCCAAGGGCAGGGCCCAGCAGCCTGTCCCGCCACACCCTTGGCTTCTGTGGCATTCGGAGCTGTGGGGTGATCTGGTTGGCACCTGCCTCCCTCCCCAGCCCCGAGCTCTGAGGTTGGGGCGGCACTCACTTGTCCAGGCAGGCTACGCTGAGGCACTTTTCAGGGGTGGAGGTGGGCGGGGGTGAGGGGGGTCGGCCCTCGGTGTCCGTGTGGCCCCTGGCGTCCGTGAGGGCTGTGGCGGAGGCGGGGGCAGGCTCACTCTCCCGCAGGATGGAGTCAATGAGGGCGGTCGGGGACAAGAGGGTGTCCACGGAAGATGGGTGCCCGGGACTTGCCTCCTCTACCCGGGGGCTCTGAGGCGGGCTTGGGGGCTCCTCCTTGACACGCACCAGGGGGCTGCTGGACAGGGGCCTGGACACCAGGTGGGGCCACATTAGCTGGTGTCTTGGGCGGCCCCACCTCACCCCCAACTCTGCCCTGGGCCCAAGGGGGCTGGCCTCGTTGGGGGAACGGGAGGGCTGGGGTGATGCGGCCCTCACCTCTCATCTATGCTCCCGCCGGGGGAGGCCACGGGGCTGGCAGGAGCCAGCTCAGTGATGTCAGAGATGATGGGTCCAGAACTGGCCACAGCATCGGGGGCGTAGAGGCTGGAGCTGCTGTACGCCGGGGATGGGGCCTGCAATCAAAGGCAGGAGGCCCATGAAACGTGGGCAGGGCGACCCCCACATCACCGCCCACATGCCTGGACGGGAGCCCTGCCCCTGGCGCTCACCGAGTAGGGGCCCGGGCCATGGACGTGCTCCAGGGAGAACTGCCGGCCATACTTGGGCATGGAATGTGCCGAGCCGCTGTCGTTCAGCATCAGGGGGCTGCGGGGAAGGGGGCAGGTCAGCCGCCTCCCCCAGACTTGGGGCACCCAGGGCACAGCTGACAGAGGAGGGGGATGACCCTGGGCCCCGTGCCCCGTGTGGCGGAAGCAGGTGTCCCCAGAACCTCACATCTTTCTCTTCACCCCCAGGATCCGGTTTGACTGCACCAGCGATATGAGGAACTGGATGAGCTGTGGGGAGAGAGGACACAGTCACCCCGGCACTTGTGCGGCCCCCGCTGGCCCTCTGGCCCTGCCCCCACCTTGTTGACGACTTTCTGCTGCTGGGCATGCTTCTGCCGAAGGCTGGCCACCTCCCGCCACAGAGCCTCATTCTCACTGCAACAGACCAGGCTGGGTCAGTGGGGCCCAATTCCAGGAGCCCCACAGACCCTCCCGTCTCCCAGGTGGGAGCAGGGGTGAGTGTGACCATGTCTGGCCTGGCCCAGTCCAGTATGAGAACTGCTGTGTGGAGGGGCTAGGGGACAGGCCAGAGCTTGTTGGTCCCACTGCCCCTCCCTGTCGGGGACAGCTGGTGTCAGGTAGGGTGGTTGGGGACTGAGTGAGCCAGGTGCACCTGGATCCTGGCATCCATCCTGGACAACATCTGGAGGGATGCCTTAACGGCAGACCCTTGAGCCTCCCCTACGAGGCCTGAGAAGCTAGGTTTGGGGAGGACGGTTCTTCAGGCTGCACCACCAGCTGTCCTGTGTCCTGCAGATGCTCAGGACCCTAGACAGGCCTAGGACTGGCTCAGAGGTGGCCTCACGGGGTACGGAGGAGCTTCCCGAGCACTGTCCCCAGGCAGGAGAGCAGGGCCGTGAGCGGGCTCCTGCTGCTCTGGGAGGCTAGGCCCAGCCAAGCCTGTGAGTCTTCTTGGGGCCACCCTGAGAGGCGCCTGTGACCTAGCAGGCCAGGCCCGTGTGGCCGGATTCCAGGAATCACAAAGCCAGTGGCTCCTGCTGGACCCCGTGCGGGAGAGTCTGAGGCCAGGGCCTCCTCCATGACGTGGGGGTCGAGAGCACCTGCTGCTCAGAGCTGAGGATGCCGCACTGGGGTTGGGGTTCCCGCATGCCTGGAGTCCCAAAGTGGCTGTGAGACCTGAGCCGGCCTTCTGAAGTAGCCCTGCCTCAGTTTCTAAGGCAACACTGTGTTAGTCCCCTGCCAAGGTTTCCCCAGAGCCGCAGGGTCCTGGAGCGGAGGGACTGGGGGGCTGGCTCCGTAGGCCCAGGCACGTGTGGGGCAGAGATGCATCTGCCCCCAGGGTTGAGGCGGGTGGGATGGCGACCGCTGCACCTCAAGATGGAGCCAGGGGGAGGGGACGGGGGAGCAGCAAGGGGTCCAGCCACAGGCCTGCTGTGGAAGCTCCTGCTGACCCTGGCCTGTGGGAGGGGTCTGGTGTACATGGTTTGTGCTCAAAAGTAAGCTGGTGGGTCCTGCCAAGCTTGGCACCTAGCTCGCCTATGCTGTGGGCCCCAGGCAGAAGCCAACGCCCCAGGAAACCAGGATGGCCCAGAGGGCACTGGAGATGTACAGAGCAGGGCACCCCCAACCCCCTTCTGCACGTGGAGAATGGCTGGCCCTAGAGCTTTCGACGCAGATACAGGTGGCAGGGCTGGGACAGAGGCCCAGGGTAGATCTGCCTGGAGGGGAGGGTGGGGCCAAGCATCTGGTGCCCCAGACAAGGCTCTGCCCCCACAGCACATGGGGCCTCCTGGTGGGTGCCAGGACCCACTGCAGCCCACAGTGCTGGTGTGGGACCTACTGCTTCATGGCCAGCAGCTTGGAGTCCATGCACTCCTGCTTCCCCTTCATCAGCTGCACGTCCGTCAGCAGCTTAGTGACGCTGTCCTGGCGGATCTTGATGTCCTCGCTCTTCAGGGTGGAAACCTGGATCCCCCGCCCCGCCCCGAGAGGAACTGGGGTCACTGAAGTGGCCTGGGAGCTTGGCAGGCTCAGGCTTGCCCGTGGCCACCGGGTCTCCCAGGAAGGGGGTGGGCTGGGGTGGGAGCTCTCAGGGAGAGGTGGACGGGGAGAGTGTGGGGGGTGAGGGCAGGCGAGCTTACGGGAGGCACTTACACTGGTCACTTTCCTCTTGATGTTCTCAAGGAGCTGCTCCTGGCCACGCAGGAAGCATGGGTGCTGGAACTCCGTGTCGTCTCTCTCTGGCTTGACCAGGCCGCCCTGCTCGATGTGGACCACTTTCCGGAAGCCATCTGCACATAACCGGGTGGTGGTGGCTCTGCATCAGGACGGGACCAGACGGCCTCCAAGGGCGGCCACTGCCCCGGGAGGCTGCTGGAGACTTGGCCCTGGTGAGACCCCACTTTGCCTCCTCAGAGCCCATGCCTGGGTGGCCAGGTGGCCTTGGTCTAACGGAGACCCCGTGTCCCCCCAGGGCTCCCTGCGCCCGACGCACATGTGTATTTGGCTCGGGCTTCACAGTTCTTCCCTGCGGACCCCAGGTGCACACCCACAAGGACCCCCCCCACCATAGAAGAGGCAGCTGCCCTGGCCAGCACAGGGGGGGTCCCATCCTTATTCTACAGGGTCCTCCTGCTGGGTCTTGACTCACTGCCCGCACACCCACCTCCGCGCGCCCACACCCCTGCCTGCCCAGAGGCAGCACTCACACATGTTGAGCTGCCGCACGAAGCTGGCCATGTTGTTGTGCTTGAAGTACTTGGGCAGCACCTCCTTGGCAAACTGGCCCTGGTCAAACACGTGGAAGCTGTTCCCGCTCTGTCAGCAGACACATGGGCGGGTCACATGGGGCGGCAAGGGGCAGCGTGCCTGGGCCACCCAACCCCTGGCCGCCCCTCCCCCCGCTGCCCCTTGTGCAGTGCACGTTCTACCCAATGGGGCTGGGGCCACAGGAGGCCCAGGGGTTGGCAGGAGGTGAGTTTGTTCCTGGACCACCTGCCACCTGGGTCAGCATCCTCACTGTGAGGCCCAGGACTTGGCAGTGGGCAGATGCAGGGCCTTCCCAACTGTGGGAAGTTCTAGAGAAGACCGATGCCACCTTTCCACTCACAACGCACCCACCGCACTCTGGCCCCTGTCTAGGGGATGAATGTTTGGCTTTAAGCAGCACATTTCCCTTAGGAACAGCTAAGGAAAGGGAACCCTAATTTCATCACTCTCGAGGAAAACACAGTTGTGTTCAGAAATCCCAGTTCATTCTTGTTTTGTCACGTGAGACAAGAAACAGAGATAGTCAAACACTGCATATACTCCTCCTCCTCCATTTCTTTGCTGAGCTTAGGCCCACAGCCATTAGGAGGAGTTGGTGAGGGAGGCATCCCTGCTGGCCGTCGCCACGGTGGCTCAGAGGGTACAGCTAGAAACCCACACAGCAGGGAAGGGGGCCTGGGGCAGGGCCAGCAAGTGATGAGGGGCACCTTGCCAGGAAGGGGTGACTGACCCAGTGAAAAAATCGTTCAGGGCAGTGGGACAGGTTTCTCCTTGCCAGGGAAGGGAGCTACAGATGTCAACAGAAAAAAAAGCCAGAAAGACTCCGTGGTGTGGTACCAGAAGTGCAGAACCGCTTTCCAGTACAGATATGTGAAGATAAACAGGGATGTGCGTGTGTGGGGAGGGAGACGGTCAGGGAAAGGACTCCAAAACAGCAGAAGAGAGAAGGTGAAAGCCGCCAAGCTGACTTTCCAGAACTCTGAAAATTAACCAAAGCATCACAGTAGCACAGGTTCATTCAAGATAGACAGCCCAATCTTAGTAAGAACTGTGGGCTTTGTGAGTTTTATTTTTTTTGAGACAGGGTCTTGATCTGTCGCTCAGGCTCGAGTGCAGCAGCTCAAACACAGCTCAGCTCAGCCTCCACCTCCCTAGTTCAAGCGATTCTCGTGATCAGCCTCCCAAGTAGCTGGGGCTACGGGTGCCACCATGCCCGGCTAATTTCTGTATTTTTAGTAGAGATGGGGTTTCACCATGTCGCCCAGGCTGGTCTTGAATTCCTGACCTCAAGTGATCCACCCACCTCAGCCTTCCCAGGTGCTGGGAAAAGAGGCGTGAGTGACCATGCCCGGCCAGGCTTTGTGGCATTTCAACATGCCCTATTCCCACTCCTTCTGCAGCCCTGAAAACCAACACTGCCCTATTCCCACTCCTTCTGCAGTCCTGGCAGCCACTGAGGTGCGGGGCAGGGCTTGGGCTCTTCAAGGTCCCATTCCCAGAGAACCGTCAGTATCTGACCTGAAGAGTTCACTCGCAAGGCTGTCTCTGATCTGACTTGAGGCTCTCCTGTATAAAAAAGCCTTTTTCCTAAGCGTGCTTGCTGAAACACCTAGCGGTGATGTTTGAACGCCGTGGCTGCCTGAGGAGTGCCTGGCAGCTGGGAAGGACCACTAACCAGGAGACCTGGCAGGAAAAGATGGAGGAGGCGGCGCCACGAGGGGCTCTGAAAAGCTCTGAGACCTTCCTGGACGTCCTGCAGCTGTGTACATGTGCAGACCCATGCCCACGTTCAGGAAAGACCCAAGCTAGCCCTGAGCTCTCAGCTCTGGCTGACCTTGAGGCTCTGCATAAGCAGGAGGGAAGGGTACAGCAGGTTGTCCGCTGCCTGGCCGAGTGCTGAGGGCATCCCCAACACACACACACACACACACAGCCCCCAGAAAAGACGGGGGAGTCAGTGGCTCCAGGCATTCAAGAACATTTCCGCCCCATCACCACCTAAGTCAGTTAACTGAACAGAGACTACGGTTGCGAAGACAACCTTTACAGAATTAGTCCCAAAAAGCTACCAGACAAATAACCGAAACAGACGGGAGCGACGGCCAATCTGGGGAGGCGGGGGAATCCGAGCTCCAGAGCTGCCACTTGCTACCTGCTAGAATTCCAGTTTTCTATCCGGGTACGCTGGCGCATGCCTGTGGTCCCAGCACTTTGGGAGGGTGAGGTGGGTGGATCGCTTGAGCTCAGGAGTTGGAGACTGGCCTGGGCAACAAGGCGAAACCCCGTCTCCAGAAAAAATACAGAAATTAGCTGGGCTTGGTGGTACACACCTGTCATCCCAGCTACTCAGGAGGCCGAGGAGGGAGGATCCCTTGAGCTCCAGAGGTGAAGGCTACAGTGAGCTGTGACTGGGCTCCTTCGCTCCAGCCTCAGTAACAGACTGGAAACAAACAAACAAAACTCTAGTTTAAAAAAAAAAAAATTAATTAAAAAAAAAAATTAAAACTAAAGGAAACCACATCTGAAGAACTAAAGTATGAGAATGACATCTTACCAAACAGAATATATCAATAAAGAGACAAAAAATTTAATTGCGGTTCTTGCCATTAAAAAAAAAAAAAGATAAAAATTATAAAGAAGCACAAAATCAAAACTATGGAGTTGAAAAGTATTAATAACTCAGATTAAAAGTTAACCAGAGGGGCTCAAGAGCAGACCTGACTAGGAGACGGAGGGGTCAGCAAACATGAAGATAGGTCAATACAGATGGTCCAGTCTGAGGAAAAGAAAGAAAAACGAAGGAATAAAAATGAGCAGAGCCAGCTGGGCGCGGTGGCTCAGGCCTATAGTCCCAGCACCTTGGGGGGCTGAGTTGGATGGATCATGAGGTCAAGAGATTAAGACCCTGTCACCACTAACAATACAAAAATTAGCTGGGTGTGGTGGTGGGTGCCTGCAATCCCAGTTACTTGGGAGGCTGAGGCAGGAGAATTGCTTGAATCTGGGAGGTAGAGGTTAGAGTGAGCTGAGATTGCACCACTGTACTTCAGCTTGGGTGACACTCCATCTCAAAAAACAAAACAAAACAAATAAAATGAAAGTATTAAAAGACCCTGCCACTCAGTCATTCTATATTGGCTGGGTGTGGTGACTCATGCCTGTAATCCCAGCACTTTGGGAGGCTATGGCAGGAGGACTGCTTGAGCCCAGGAGCTGGAGATGAGCCTGGGCAACACCGTAAGACCCAGTGAGACTATCCTTTGAAAATGGAGAGATTTCCACTTCTGGAACAGCAACATGAGGAGCTTTGTGGAAGCACTTCCCGTGAAGCAAGCAAAGTCTCAAAACTGTCCTAAAGGCATGTAACAGATAAACACGCATTGAGTAAAATCTGCTAACGCTTGGTATGAACAGTGAGTCTTGGTGGCATCTGAGCCTCAGCTTCCTCTTTCCCTCCACCCCAGCTCGCCTGATGTACACTACACTTGAAGGGAGGGGAACAAGAAGATGGCGGCCCTTCTTCCCTCAGCTCCCAGTGGTTTCCTGGATCTCACGGGCTGGAAAGACCACCAGAACTTCTCATCCTCACTGACTCCAGGTTGAAGAGACCAAGTTCCTGGTGCATGTGGCCAAAAGGCCAGGGCTCCCTTCCTCCACCTTGCCCACCCCTCAGAGTGGAGACTCCGTCCCAGCCGCAGCAGGCGGAGGACACCCAGGGCTCTGATCACCTTCTCCTCAGCTCTCACCTCATTAAAGCATTTTCAAAACTGCAATATATATATTTTTTTTTTTGAGATGGAGACTCGCTTTGTTGCCCAGGCTAGAGTGCAATGGCACAATCTCAGCTCAGTGCAACCTCTGCCTTCCAGGTTCAAGTGCCTCTCCTGCCTCAGCCTCCTGAGTAGCTGGGATTACAGGTGTGCGCCACCACGCCTGGCTACTTCTTATATTTTTAATTGAGACGAGGTTTTGCCAGGTTGGCCAGCCTGGTCTTGAACTCCTGACCACAAGTGATCCACCGACCTCGGCTTCCAAAGTGCTGGGATTACAAGCGTGAGCCACCGTGCTTGGTCTTAAAAATTGCAAGTTTTGGCCAGGCGCGGTGGCTCAAGCCTGTAATCCCAGCACTTTGGGAGGCCGAGGCGGGTGGATCACGAGGTCAAGAGATCGAGACCATCCTGGTCAACATGGTGAAACCCCGTCTCTACTAAAA